CGCAGATCTGAGCGAGACCTCGCCGTCCCTGGGGGGCTGCGATCTGCGGAACTGTCGTCACTTTCGACAGCTGCTGGTGGGTCCTGCGGAGTGAGGCACCGCGCAGATCTGAGCGAGACCTCGCCGTCCCTGGGGGGCTGCGATCTGCAAGACTGTCGTCACTTTCGAGGGCTGCTGGTGGGCCCAGCGGAGTGAGACACCGCGCAGATCTGAGCGAGACCTCGCCGTCCCTGGGGGGGGGGGGGCTGCGATCTGCGGAAGTGTCGCCACTTTCGAGGGCTGCTGGTGGGTCCTGCGGAGTGAGGCACCGCGCAGATCTGAGCGAGACCTCGCCGTCCCTGGGAGGCTGCGATCTGCAAGACTGTCGTCACTTTCGAGGGCTGCTGGTGGGTCCAGCGGAGTGAGGCACCGCGCAGATCTGAGCGAGACCTCGCCGTCCCTGGGGCGGGGCTGCGATCTGTGGAACTGTCGCCACTTTCGAGGGCTGCTGGTGGGTCCAGCGGAGTGAGGCACCGCGCAGATCTGAGCGAGATCTCGTCGTCCCTGGGGGGCTGCGATCTGCAAGACTGTCGCCACTTTCGAGGGCTGCTGGTGGGTCCAGCAGAGTGAGGCTCCGCGCAGATCTGAGCGAGACCTCGCCGTCCCTGGGGGGCTGCGATCTGCGGAACTGTCGTCACTTTCGAGGGCTGCTGGTGGGTCCAGCGGAGTGAGGCACCGCGCAGATCTGAGCGAGACCTCGCCGTCCCTGGGGGGGGGGGGGGCTGCGATCTGCGGAACTGTCGTCACTTTCGAGGGCTGCTGGTGGGTCCAGCGGAGTGAGGCACCGCGCCGATCTGAGCGAGACCTCGCCGTCCCTGGGGGGCTGCGATCTGCGAAAGTGTTGTCACTTTCGAGGGCTGCTGGTGGGTCCAGCGGAGTGAGGCACCGCGCCGATCTGAGCGGGACCTCGCCGTCCCCAGGGGGCTGCGAGCCTCACGAATTCCGCTCGCAGAATTATATATATGCCCATGTCACGTCATCACCTCTGTATAACGTGTCTCAGGCTACTCGTGCCCTGCATTGCGCAGGGGTTGGGTACGTCGCCAGGGTAATTCAAGGCGCCGGAACTGCCTCGCTGCATCGGCGGTGGCGCCACGCCAGCTGCCAGCGACAAAAGTAAGCCTAATGAATGGCCGCAGCAGGGATGCCACGCGGTCGCGGACACCAGCGAACAGAACTCGCAGCCGCGCAGAATCCGCGCAAACAGGCGTCGAGCCGCCACTTGCAAGACGCGATCGCGCCCATCGAGGGGCAGCCCTCTCTCTCTCGAGCACAGCGCGGACGCGCGACCCGCGATCGAGGGGCCTCGCGGGCCTGGGCGGCGGAGATGCTCTTGAGAACGGCGACGGCGCCGACTGTGGCAGCGGGGCGCCAGGCCTAGCCTCATGCCGGGCCTGTCCCCCTACAGGGGGATCTTCTGCGAAAAACCAAAAATACCCCAGAAATGCCCCAAAAATATCAGAAAATACTTCAGAAATAGTCCCCAGACTATTTTTGGAGTATTTTTTAATTCTGTTTAGGGCATTTTTCATTTTTCGTCGAAAATCCCCCTGTATAGGGGGACAGGCCCGACTTAAAATAGCCCGGGGGCCCCGGGAAAGACGCCCCGGCGGCGACGGCCCCAATACCGCCGCGGTCCTGCAAGAGGGGGCACGCGCGGAAGGGGCGCGGGGCGCCTCGTCGGCGCGCGCCGCGCCAGAGGGCATCCTCTCTTCGAAATCTCGAAGGGGCTCTCGCGATCACACTGCCCAGACCGAGACAAAACCAACCAGAGATCGCTCCGCATCAGAAAACTCGCCATCGCTCGGACGCCCATTCCTCGTGTATGTTTCGATTTCGTGCGTGTTTGTTTCGCTCTGTCGTCCAGGATGCTCCTCCATCTTCCTCGCCGAGAAAAAATGCACACGTCCGAGCGATGCCAGGAAAACGACAGGAGATCCGAAACCGTGGGGGGCCAGGGTCCCCGTCCGAGATGCCCCTCACGCGATCGCTCGCCACCCGAAGCTTCCGTCGAGGGCCCCTGGGCGAGCGGCGCCCGGAGGCTCGGGGGCCCAGCCCGCGGGCGCGGCGCATCGGGTGAGCCGGAGCAGCGCGCCGGCAGCGCGGCGAGCTCGCAAAGTCCCTCGCGCCGGGAGGGGCGGGCGCAGCCCGGGCACCAGCGCGCCCAGGAACTATGAAGGGGCCCAGGGACACACCAATGAATACACACAAATAGAATGATTCCTCATATTTTCTCATATTTTCTGGGCTTCTGTCTTCCCCCACTTCCCATATTTTCCCATATTTTCTGGGAGATCGACGATTAAATGTGTCTATGTTTTTTTCCTTCCTCAAATTAGAGCGTCGACGGACTCGACTCGACGACAGCAACTGCCGCGGCCAAGAGACGCGCCGCGCGCCGCGCCGTCGAGTCCTCCTCCTCCTCCTCCTCCTCCTCCTCCTCCTCCTTCCCTTCTCCTCCTCCTCCTCCTCCTCCTCCTCCTCTTCCTCCTCCTCCTCCTCCTCCTCCTCCTCCTCCTCTTCCTCCTCCTCCTTCCGTCCTCCTCCTCCTCCTCCTCCTCCTCCTCCTTCCCTTCTCCTCCTCCTCCTCCTCCTCCTCCTCCTCCTCCTCCTCCTCCTCCTCCTCCTCCTCCTCCTCTTCCTCCTCCTCCAAAATCCCAAATCCGTCGAACGACAGCAAGCCCAGGGAGAGGGTAGCCATCGCGATGCCTTGGCGGCGCGCCCTCAACCTCCCCGAAAGCAGGAGCGCCCCTGGACACCACCATGACTCCTCGCACACAAGCAGACGGACAAGACTGGGCGAGGCACTCCCAGCCCTGCGCCAGTGCTTCTGCACTGGACCCTCGGAGAGCACAGAGATGCGGCGAGCCCGACCAGCGCCTCGAAGACAGCGGACTAGCCAGCCCCAACGCAACGGCGTCGGCGCCGCCCTTGCCGGCAACCTTCTTAGCCCGACGGAGCGCACGCGCACCCGCCGCCTCGCGCTTCCCTCTGGAGACGGCTGCCTCTACTCGCAGCCGATTGGGCGCGTGGGCCGCCAGCGAGGGCGCCACCAGCGCCCCGCCAGCCCGCGCGCCGTCGCCCATGATGTGAGCCGCGCCCTCGTAACTGGGCTCGGAGGGGCTGACGTGGTGCGCCGCGGCAACGCGCTGCCGCCCGCGCGCCGCCGCCACCGTGCACGTCAAATTCACGATGTTCACCCCGTCGTGCATCACGACTAGCCCCTGCACCAGCGACATGTCAGCGCCCTCGTGAATCGATCGATCTCCGTCAGGGATCTCCGACTCGGCCGGCAACTTAAAGCATTGAGCTCGAGGTCCCCCCAGTCTTGAAGATCTCACAGCAGCGATGCTCCGTCGTCCAAGGCCCGCTGAGCGGGAAGCCGGAATCCGTCATTGTCATCTCCTGTACCATCTTGCGAAGCTCGCGAATCCTCGTGCCGTCGATTCCGTCCTGCACAAACAGCGTCCTCACGCCGCCCCCCACGGCCTGGTCGGTTCCGCGGGTGGCCGCGGCTGCCTTGCGCCACGTTGCTGTTGTTGCTTGCCCGTGCTTACGCCCGTTATTATCTTAGTTTGTCTGCACGCGCCAGGGTCTCGCGCGTTGGCTCGCCGATTGCAGGTTGGCCCGCAGGTGATTCTGGGCTTGCCAAGTGCATGCGGTTGGGCACTATTGCTGAGTTCGTGGGAGAAAAGAGGCTGCCCTGTGCAACTGTGTTCGTTCGTCACAGAACGCGTCGATGTCCGCTTGGTAGTTCGTCTGGTGTTTGATTAGCGCGTGCCGAAGGTTCGCCAGACCTGGACCAGAACCCCACGAGACGGCCGCCGGCGCCGCTGCGGCAGGTGCGGCGGCGGCCGCGGCCCCCGCGGCCCAAGCCACCGCGCCACCCGCTCCACCCGCTCCACCGCCGTCCGCCGGCGGCGCCCAGAACCTGCGCAGACGCTCGCCTCCAAGTCATGTCCCCATGAAACAGTCACGACTCAATTCGCAGCATGAGGCAGAAACGCCCGCTCGTGTGACAGATCCTCGCCTGCGCCCGCGTCTTTCACGAAACCTATCCGAAGACCCCCCCCCCCGGGGCCATTAGGGTGTGACCAACCGTCTGCTCCCCGAAGGCATCGGAGCCGGCGCCACCTGCCTGGCTCCGGCCTCCGAGAGCGTAAATGAGCTGCGCGCGCGCCAGCCGCACCTGCACGGCTGAGAGGAAGAGGCATAAGCACGCGCCCACAACCAGCTGCGAAGACTCGAAAAGAAAAAGAGAAACAGAGCAACACAAAAAGCGATCAGCTGTGAAGAGTGATGCCCGACGCTCGCGCCCCCCACTGCCGGCACAGGCACGCCAGGGCTGGGACGTCTGGAGACTTCACCTTCGCTCTGCCCGCCGCCTGGGCCGCGTCCGCCGCGTCAAAGAAGAGGCTGGGCACGATCCGGGCCGAGGGATCGGTGATTGCACTGCTGATCCCCACCTGCAGGGCAGCGGCGGAGGTGAGCCAGCCCCAGATCATCGACCGCGGGCGGGCGACTGTCCGTGCGCCCCTGCGACGCAGCAGAAAGACCTCGAGGTCATCGAAGACGGCCGCGGAGGGGGACGATCAATGCTGCGCGCCGCGCTCTCATGCTCCATCTCCGTCCGCAGTCCTCCCTCATCCCTGCTCCCCCTCCCCCGCACCTCGCGGGGCCCCTCGCTGACGCCATCAGCCAGGAGGAGGAGGAGGAGGAGGCGACACCGACGACGATGACGACGACGACGGAAACACACGAACAAACAGCAAAGGCGAGGAGGACGAAGGGAACGGGGAAGAGGACGAGGAGGACGAAGAGGACAACGGCGAGAACGAACAATGTGGACGAGGAGGACGACGAGGAGGGCGAGGACAATGAGGACGAAGAGGAGGAACCAGGAGGAGAACGAGGAGGAGGACGAGGAGGAAGTCGCGCGCGCCCTCCCCGCGAGGAGGCTCCATGACCAGCTGCTCGAAGGCGTGCCCCTCCTTGGCGGCGGGCGGTCTGCCCCAGGAGCGTCTGTGCGAACGTGCGCACAGGAGGGAGAGGGCGGGAGGCGGAGGGGGCGATGACAGCCTTTAACGAAGCCACGTACCCCTTGATGCCTCTCTACGAAATGTATCCCGTCTCTCTATCTCTCTCTCTCTCTCTCTCTGTTCTCTCTCTCTCTCTCTCTCTTTTTTCTCTCTCTCTCTCTCTCTCTCTCTCTCTCTCTCTCTCTCTCTCTCTCTCTCTGTATACATATATATATATATGTGTGTATCACACTAGTTCAACCGATACGTATAATCATGTACATGCATATGCATGCATAATGATATACAAGTGTATACATATATATCTATACATACATACATACATACATATATACGTATATAGATATACATACATGTACATAGATATGTACATTTCTGAATATATACATAATAGGGTAAATACATACAAACATACATACATACATACATACATACATACATACATAAAGACATGCATACATACATGCATGCATACATACATACACACATGCATACACGCCTGCATACATACATGCATATGTATGTATACATTTATACATGTATGCATTCGCGCATGTGTATAGACAAATACGCATACCTACATACAAATGTTTGCATGTATGCATTAAAAACCAAACAAAAACATGCAGGCAGACAGACAGACAGACACACAGACAGACAGGCAGGCATATCTAATGACCTATAGACTACATGCATACACACATACCTACATGCACACATGCAGGCACACACATACATACCTATCCACATACATACATACATACATACATACATACATACATACATACAACATACATGGGTGCAACCATACATACATACATACATGCATACATACACACCTACGACATATGTGTGCATACATATGTATACATATATGTATAACACAATGCTTGCATCTAAGGTGTCTTATTTCTGCTCTACAGAACGGGGCCGCGTCTATGGTCTGGCGGTTCCGTGCCGACAGTCGCCGCCGCGTCGCCGCCTCGTCGCCGCAGGGCGTGTGGGCCGGTTGGCCGCTCTGGGGTTCCGTGCCGGCAGTCGCCGCCACGTCGCCGCCCCGTCCCCGCTTCGGTTCCGCCCGTCGCCGCCGTTGAATCGCCCAAAATGACGGCGCGAAAAAGATTCGCGCCTGCGGCACAAAGTGCGCACGCGCGCGCCGTCGCAAGCGCATGCTAAAATCCTTCAAAAACCCTAGGTGTCGTGAGGATTTCAAAATCGAACGTCTCTAAAACATGAAAAAACACATGGTTTCGCAACAAAAGGTTCCAAGCAAGCTTGCGGTCCAGTTTGCGAATTCTCCAAGAAAACGATAACTGTTCCAACACGTTCACAATTGGTCCCAATTGGGCTTCTTTCGCGCGCGTGTCAGAATCGTTCCAATGCCCTTGCGCGTGGGCTGTCGCAAGAATCCCTTGCAACAGGTGTGACGAAATGCACACGCGCATGTCGTCGCGAACACATGTCCGAATCGCTTAAACCAAAAAATCCGTAAGGATTTCAAAATCCAATGTCCCGATGTGAATGAAAAATATATAATACTAGAAAAATGGCCTCGCAACCAAAATGTTCAAAAACAGTTTTCGCTCGCATTGTTGCAAATTCTGAAGAAAACATAACATGCTAACCTTTTTCCATAACATGCTAACAAGCGGTCTTCTCGCGCGCTTGTCGGAATCTCCGGAACGTTCTTGCGCGCGTGCTGTCCCAAGGGGACCTTGCAACAAATGAAACGAGCCGCACACGCGTGCGTCGTTGCGCCCGCAAGCCGGACTCTTTCAAAAATCTGGGGTGTCTTCAAGATTTCAAAATCAAATGTCGCGGATACAGATAAAACATAGTTTCGGGACGTAGATGTTCAAACATGCCCCGGAACCAAAAGTTCTCAAACATGTTCAGTCCGCCAAACGGGCTCTTTGCGCCGCACGTCGAATACATTCGAAACCCTTGCGCGCTGCGGGGGGGGCACGGTCCGAGTAAAATAAGCCGCGCGGGCCACGTTAGCGCGTCGGCCGCGCGCGCATGTCCAGCTCCTTCCCAAACTTTCATCGCCGACGCGGGGACGCCGTCATCGCCGTCGGCGTGATCAACATCGACGCCGTCACTGGATTTGCCGTCGTCGTTGGCATCATCGTCGCCAGTATCGCTACCATTCTCATCATCGCGTCTGCCGTTGCCAAAGCTTCCATGATACCGCGCCCGCCAAATTCACCGAGTCGCACTGAAGTGCCTCCCGGGTTGTGCCCAAGGGTCAGCGCCACCGCGGCCGCATCGGCGCGCCAAACTACCTGGCTGCTGCGCGCGAGAGCATGCGCGGACTAGCGCGGCCGCAGAGATGCATCAGCCAACGCGAAGCACTCATCGCAATCGCCGCCGCATGGGTTTTGCAAACACCAAGTGACGGGTGGGTGGGTGAGATGATTGCACGAGCAGTTGAGTGGGCAACTCTCTGCGAACGGGCATTGCTTTTCCCTTCTTAAGAGAATTAAGATCCACCGCCCTCCCGATGCCGGACTTATCGGTACCCCCTGCGGATGTGTGGTTTACATATGATTCTGCCACATCGTCCACCCAAAATACGAAATCATACCATCCCAGCCAGGCCGGAATTCGCCTCCCCCCTCCTCTGCAACAAATACTATGCGCGCGCACTCGCTCACATTCTTTAACAAAAGAAGACGAGCAAAAGGTGTAACGAAGAACACGCGCGCGTCGTCGCGCGCGCGTGCCGAACCCTGAAAAAACAACTCCATATTCGTGCGGTTTTCAAACCGAGTGCCCCGAAAACGGCCGACGAATATTCAAAACAAGTTCGCGCCCGCGCTCTTGCCAACTCTGAAAGAAACCATGTTTCCAAATTGGCCTCTCGTGCGCGCGTGTCGACATGGTTCGAAAGCCCTTGCGCGCGTGCTGTCGCAAGAACCCCGCAAACCTGATGGGACGAAGTGCGCGCGCGCATATCGTCGCGGACACATGCTGGCGTCCTTCGAAGTCCGTATGGTTCGTGCGGATTCCAAAACCAAGCGCCCCGATAACATCTAAAAACGCATGGCTTCGCAGCATAACTGCAAAGTAAAAGCACTGCGCTTGCGCTCCTGCGAATTCTTCTGAAAACCAAATTCAACATTGCCAGACGATTCTGCAAGAAGCGCCTCTCACGCCGCACGTCAGAATCATTCGAACGCCCTTGCGCGCGTGCTGGGAGGGGGGCACGGCCCGTGTCAAATAATACCACGCGGGCCACTCGTGCACGTCGGCCGCGCGCGCATGTCGAACTCCCCCAAAAGCCTTCATCGCAGACGCGAGGGCCTCGTCATCGTTATCGGCGGGCGTGATCAAACAAAATCGGCGCCGTCATTGGCCTCGCCGTCGTCATCGGCTCCAACGTTACCATCATCGCTACAAGTAGCATCGTGTCTACTGTTGTCGGCGTTGCCATGATACCGCGCCCGCCCAACTCACCTACTCGCACTGAAGCGCCCACTGGAAATGCCCAGCGGTCAGCGCCGCCGCGGCCGCGTCAGCCGCGCCGCACTAGCTGGTCGCTGCGCGCACGAGCATGCGCGGGCTCGCGCGGCCGCAGAGATGCACCAGCCAACGCGAAGCTGTCATCGCAATCGCCGTCGCATGGGTTTCGCAAACCGATTTGAGGGCGGGTGAGTGGGGCGTTTGCGCGAGCTGTGACGTTGACGCTTCAAGGCTGGCAGGGTCAATTATCCTTCTCTTTTTGATATTAAGGAAATATGCCCCCTCCCCGCCCAAAGGTGAAAAAGTTCACCTATCCGTATTGCAATGTACGTGTGATCCTGCCCCATCGTCCGCCCTCAGCATGGACTAGCATCATCACAGCTAAACCGGGGTAGCGCCTCCCATTTATACTTGTGCAAAAAATACTGCGCGCGCATTGGTTTGCCATACTTCATCCGTTTTCAAGCTACCACTTTCAACAAATTGGACGAAGTGCACACGCGCGCGTCGCCGCGCGCGCATGCTGAAATCGTTCAACAACCTTAGGGACCAGTACAAAAAATGTCCCGAGCACATATCAGAAATCCGTGGTTTCGCAACACGGAGCTTCAAACAAAAAAAGCTTGCGCCCTCGTTCATGCGAACCCTCAAAAAGGAACATCCATGTTTCAACATGTCCCTTGCAGTTTCCCAAACGGGCCTCTCGCGACGGATGCCGAAATCATTCGAACGCCCTTGCGCGCGGGCCAGGAGGGGGGCACGATCCGTGCGAAAATACACCGTGCGGGCCACTCTCGAGCGTCGGCCGCGCGCGCATGTCGAACTCCGTCCCGAACATCCATATCCGACGCGAGGACGCCGTCATCGTCGTCGGAACGATCAGCATCGGCGCCGTCAATGGCCGTACTGTCGTCGTTGCCAATATCGCCAGCAGCATCGCTACTACCATCATCGTGTCGACTGTGCCGACATTGCCATGATACCGCGCCCGCCCAACTCACCTACTCGCACTAAAGTGCCCGCTGGGATGCGCCCAGCGGGTAGAGCCACCGCAACCGCGTCGTTCGCGCCAAACTAACTGGCCGTTGCGCGCGCGCGCATGCGCGGGCTCGCGCGGCCACAGATTTCCACCAGCCAACGCCAAGCACTCACCCGTACAGCCGTCGTATGGGTTTAGCAAGCCACGTTGCGAGTGGGTGGGTGGGATAGTTGCGCGAGCAGGTGGAGTTGTCAACTTCAAGTTGAACGTTGGTGAATTGCATCACGTAGACAGTACAACATGTATTGTGCATCAAATTTGCATCACATAGATTGCAAAAACCAGATGTTGCACAACATAGGTTGCACAACAGCTGTTGCACAGCATGGTTCTCCTCCCTTGCATAATAGGATCTACCACAATCCACATCAAAGATTATCCGCCCGCCCTGATGTATTGCAACTTGCATATGGTTTTTCCCCATCGCCCATCCAAACTATGAGTTCGCACCATGAAGCCCGACCAGCATCGATCCCAGTCCCCCCGCCAGCTTCAGCAACAAAAACTAAGCACGCGCACTCGTTTGTCAAAAGTCATCAGTGCCCAGTGCCCAAAAACCCATTGCAAAAAACGACTAAGCTGCCCTGCACTCCGCTGTGCCTCCCAGGCGCCCACGAAAGTGGCGACAGATGCGCAGAACGCAGCCCACGAGGGAGCCGCGAGGTCTCAAATGATCTGCGCTGCCCTGAACTCCGATGTGCCTCCCAGGAGCCCACGAAAGTGGCGACGGTTGAGCAATTCGAAGCCCCAAAATAACAAAGGTACGAGCAAGAGAGGCAAAGAGGCGGGAGGCAGAAGGCGAAAGGAGGAGGCAGAAGCAGGGGGAGGGAGAAGACTGGAAACCGCAGTGCCCTATTCAACACAAGAACCCCACACGGGATATTGGGGGAAAAACATTAGCACGCCTCTCTCTAATTCTCTCTCTCTCTCTCCCTCTCTTTCTCTTTCTAATTACATATATATATCTCTCTCTCTTTCTCTTTATTGTACTCTCCTTCTCTCACTCTCTCCTTCTTGCTCCCTCTCTCTCTGTCTCTCTTTCTCTCTCTCTCTCTCTCTCTTCCGTGGGCCCAACCAGCCGAGTATGGTCTGTTCGCAGGAGTCAAGCACCCACGCCGACCCATGCCATCCTAGAGGCACGAAGCGAAGACACGGTGACCGGAGGGTGGACACTGGGCAACCGCCCTTCCTCAATGCGCACCCGCCGCTCCCAGCTCCTGGGCCACGTACTTTGCGAGGCGATCGATGATCCGGCGCCGTCGCTGGTCGGGCGGGGGCTCCACGACCACGTGTCGGCCGTCCTGCGGCGCTCTCTCTCACCTGCTGCTGCTCCTCCCCCCTTGCGGACGCCGGACGACATGGCCCCGAAGCAAACGCCCCGAACAGCTGCTTGCAGGTTGAAACCATGCCGCCCGGCGATCTCGCGGCGCCGCTCGGCCGTCGGCGCTTATGCTGAAGTGGCATCCATAGGAGGAGTGGGCCCGTGGGGCTGCAGAGCGCTTCCATCCACGGGGCTCAGCTCAGCTCTGATTGGTTTACACTAGGTCCAAAGTGCTTCGTTTTGCTCTGATGTGTCCACGCCCAAGATTTATCCTTGAGGTTCACCATTTACATCCGTTTGAACGGACGCTCGTGCCAGATTCCAAATTTGAACTAAAATTCGCCATCCGCCTAAGCTTAGACTTCGTCAAACATATGATCAGGCAGGTAGCTCACACCAGCTTAGATTGATTATAAGTTCCTTGCCTTGCGTTGCGCCGTCACCAATTCAGCCTGGTCTCGACTATATTGCTGTAGTAGCCTGCGCTGGTTCAGCCTACCGCTACCTAAGTTTCAAAATTAGAACAATGTACCTCAGCGCAGCCGAGACCAAGTCAGTTCAGGCTACTAATGCTTGACGAACGTGTGTTAGCTCAGGGGTAAGTGAGATTTCTGGATCATCCTGCGTCGACCCACGTGCCTGTTCTCGCAGCTCAATGCCTCGCTCTAGATATTATGCTGCCGATCCCGTCTGCCCTGGCAGCTCCGCTGGCCACCGCTGCATCATGATCGCCATCAGATGGAGAGAAGGGGGCTCCACGAGTTACCTCAGGAGCTCGTCACACAGCTTTTGGAGCAACACCGTCAAGCATCTTAAGCTGGGTTGCGCCGCCGCCGCCGCCGCGGCGCTGCCGCCTCCAGCTACGCCCGAAACCGATTCCGCATGATGGCTCGCTCTTTTCTGGTAATCGTGGCTGCGGTCGTCGTCATCGCCGTCGTCGACGAGCTCGTCGTAGTCATCGTCGTCAAAAGTGCGGCCTGCGGCGCGCACGACAGGCTGGATCACCTGTGAAGCCGCCGTTCCACTCGTGCTCGCTGCCTTCCCCTGCTGAATCAAGGCTCAACGGCTTCTGCTGCGCTTCGACTCGCGCTGGACCTTCTACGATCTACACATCATTACAGGTTTGGCTGGATCTCTCCCGATCTGCCTCGATCGATCTGGGCGTGCAGCGAAAGGCATCGAGCCACTCCGATCCATCTGGCTCTGCGCCTGCAAGCCGATTGCAGAAGAGTGGTGAAGCCCTTGAGCATCTGCTCCCCCCCCGAGGTCCCTCGTCTCCGCCCTGGGCACGGGCGTCGGTGGTGGACCTGACAGGGAGGTCCAGCAATTAGAAGCTGGAGAGGATCGATGCGGGGTCGATGCGGGTCGTCCCAACACAAGGATGACGAGGAGCAATGAGGAATGGGCAAGGATGGGGGCGAATGAGGAGGAACCAGGAGGAAGAAGACGGCGGGAGGGGGTCCAACCACAGTGGTGCGGGGTCCACGTGCGACTCGAAGGTCGAACCTCAGACTTCTGAAAGGGTACGTGTTGACCTGGACTTCGAAGGGCACCCAGCAATCGCGAAGAGAAACCTCGTAGAGGCCCGAGATGATGCAAGAAAAGCCCAAACGTATCGATCCTCGACCCTCGATCTTTGCCCTCCCACCCCCTCATGATCCTCCTCCTACCCCTCCTCCTATCCCTCCTCCACCTCCTCCTCATCCTCCTCCTCTTCCTTCTCCTCCTCCTCCTCCTCCTCCTCCTCCTCCTCCTCCTCCACAGCCTCCGCCTCCTCCTCCTCCTCCTCCTCCTCCTCCTCCTCCTCCTCCTCCTCCTCCTCCTCCCCCTCCTCGCCCCTGAGACTGCAGCCCTGGGCGCCGGGAGGCCCCAGAAGTCCACGGGCGCCGCCGCGCTTCGCGAGAAGCGCAAGAAGGCGGCGCGAGGGCTCCGAGGGCGCCGCAGCGCCAGAGCCCAGCCTCGGGGGCCAGGGCACGCCTGGCCGACGGAGAGCAGCAGCGGCGGCCCGGGCCCGGGAGTGGCCTCCGGGGCCGCCTGCGGGGGCGCGCGCAGGGCCCAGGGATCCAGAGCACTGGAGAAACTCAAGAGGCCCCCAAGGGGCCCCCGAGAGGCCCCCTGGAGGCCAAAAGAGGCCCCCGGGAGCCTCCCAACAGGGCCCCCAAGAGGCTCACAGCAGGCCCGAAGAGTACCCCCCAGAAGCCCCCGAGAGCGCCCCGAAGAGACCCCAAGAAGCATCCCTGAGGACTACTCTGACCCACGTCAGCATCGTCGTCGTCGTCGTTCTGGGTCGGCGGCACCCGCCGTAAGGCCTCTCCAATCAAGACGGAACTCTCTCAGACATCCAGCGTCTTGGAAAAATCGCGACGATGGTTTTGCGTCGTTTTCGATCCTCGGGTCCCTTACGGGGCCCCGGGGCCGTCAAGAAACGACTCGGTATGAAAAGCGGGTCCCCGGGAACTGGTCGAGAAGTCGGGGGGGCCCTTAGCAGGCCTCAGGACCGTCATAAACAAACCAGGATGAAAAGAGGGCTTCGGGCTGCGCACAGACAGCCCCTCTCAGGTCGTCCCAGCTGGCCTCAACAGCCCCCCGAGTAGCCTAGGGCTACTCGGGGGGCCTGCTGAGCCCAGCTGAAGCTACTTGGGGGGCCCGTTGAGGCCAGCCGGGGCTACCTGGGGGGCCTTGCCACGGGTGGGGAAGAAGCGTTTGTAGGGCGACGAAATCGTTGTATATATATATATATATACAAATAGGCATACAGGCATATACATACATACATACATACATACATACAGACATATATACATACATGCATGCATGCATGCATACATACATATGTACGTACGTACGTACGTACATACATACATACATACATACAGGCATGCCTGCCTGCCTGCCTGCATACATACAGACCTACCTACCTACATACATACATGCATGCATGCCTACATGCATGAGTTACATACATACATACATACATACATGCATGCATGCATACATGCATACATACATACATACTTACTTACTTACATACTTACATACTTACATACATGCATGCATGCATGCATGCGTATATACATACATACATATATACATACATACATGAATGCATACATATGTACATACATACATACATACATACATACATACATACATAAATACATGCACATATACATACAGACCTACATACATACATACATACATACATACATACATACATAAATACATACAATCATACATACATACATACATACATACATACATACATACATACATACATACATACATGCATACATACATACATATATACATACATACATACATGCATGCATGCATGCATGCATACATACATACATACATACATACATACATACATACATACATACATGCATACATACATACATATATACATACATACATACATGCATGCATGCATGCATGCATACATACATACATACATATATGCATGCATGTATGCATACATACAGACATGCATATAAACATAAATATAGACATACATGCATACATACATACACACACCTTTATACGAATATAGATATATACACACTCACTAGAACCATCGCGCCCTTGGCGCGCACTCAAGTTCTTGCTAGGGACATGATTATCGTCATCCTCGTCATGTTCAACCCCTTCATATTCATCGTCATCGTCATGGTCATGGTCACCTTCAACATCACGATCACAGCAATCATCTGTACCACCCTTATCATCAACATCGTGATCTCCATCACCATCATCGTTCATCGTACTTGTCAGCATCATCGTCCGCATCATCAACATCTTGTTGGTCGTCGTCGGCTTCGTCGTCGGCGTAGTCATCGTCATCATCATCATCATCATCATCATCATCAGCGTCATCGCCGTCATCATCCCCGGTCCACTGCAGTCCCGTTACCCTCCTCCTCTTCCCGCTTTCCCCCTTCCCATCATCATATACTCATCCTTTTCCTCGTCGGCGTCTCCCTCGAAAAGAACCCTGTTCCTTCACCTCCTCCTCATCCTCTTCCTCTTCTTTCTCCTCCTCCCTGTCGTCCCCGCTCCTCGGTGTGTCCCTCCTTGTGTTCCTTCACCTCCTTCACCTCCTTCCTCCTCTCGAGCCCTCTTCATCCTGCGCTCCCCTTCCCTCCTCGTCCTCAGCATCCCTCCCCAAGCCAGAGAATCAGAGAACAAGATAAGCTTACGAGAACAACGTCCCTCCTCCTCTTCCCCCTCCTCTTCCCCCTCTTCGTCCTCCTGATCTTCCTCCGCCTCCTCTTCCTCCTGCTCCTCCTCCTTCTCCTCCTCCTGCTCCTCCACCTCGTCCTCCTCCTCCTCCTCCTCCTCCTCTTCCTCCTCCTCCTCCTCCTCCTCCTCCTCCTCCTCCTCTCCCACCTCCTCCTCCTCCTCCTCCTCCTCCTCCTCCTCCTCCTCCTCCTCCTCCTCCTCCTCCTCCTCCTCCTCCTTGTCCTCCTCCTCCTTGTCCTCCTCCTCTCTTCTCTCAACGCACCCAATAAACGGGTGCCTACTGGAACGCGTGCCAGGAGCCTTTTTGGAAGCATTGTGGCAGTCTCTGGAGCCTTTTCTGGGCTTTCCTTTGGAGTCCTTTGGGGCCTTTGTTGGCCCGTCTGAGGGCCCATTTCGGCCGTTCCAGGTCCCTTTTGGCTCGTCGTGGGGAGCTCAGCCCGTCTCTGGGCCCTCCTGGGGCCCTCTCCGACCATGTAGGAATCCTCTGGTAGCCCCCTCGGGCTTCCTGGGGGCTCTCTTGGGCCGTCTTGTAGCTCTTCTGTGCCGCTTGAAACTCTCTTCAGCCCATCTTGGAACCCTCTTTGGGGCCTCTGGGGCCGTCTGGGGCCAATTTTGGTAACCTCTTGGGCCGTCGCGACAGCTGGTAGAACGGAATAGCGAAGCTCCCAGAAATATATGCTCGTCCATCGGAAATGGTTGGTTTTTGCCTTTGGAGGGCCTTCTCAGCGGCCTCTTGGACAGTCGTTGGGGGTCCTTTGGGACCTTTTGTGGCCCGTCTGGGAGCCCATTTCAGCTGTCCCAAACCCTCTTGGCATGTCATGGGGTGGCTGAGCCGTCTTGGGGCCCTCATGGAGCCCTCTCCGACCATGTAGGGATCCTCTGGTGGCTCCCTCGGGCCCCCTGGGGACTCTCTCGGGCTGTTTTGGAGCTCTCTTGTGCTGCTCGACGCTCTCTTGCGGCTGTCTTGGAGCCCTCTTGGGGGCCTCGTGGACCGTGTCGCGCCGATTTGGGGAGCCTCTGGGGCCGACGTGGTCGCCGATGGAACATAAGAAGCGAACATCATACAAATGTACGTTGTTTCCATGGGATGTGCTCGATTTTGCACCCGGGAGCCTTCTCAGCGGCCTCCTCGACCGTCTTCAGGGAGACCTGGTAGGCTTTGTTTGGACCCTCTGGGAACCCAGTTCGGCCGTTCTGGGTCCCTCTTCGCCCGCCATGGGGACCTGAGCCCGTCTTGGGGCCCTCTGGGGGGCCTGTGGGGGCCCTCTCCGACCATGTAGGGATCCTCCGGTGGCCCCCTCGGAGTTCATGGGTACTCTCTTGGGCCGTGTTGGGGCTCTCTTGTGCTGGTTGAAGCTCTCTTCAGGCCGTCTGGGGATCCTCTTGGGGGCCTCTTGGGCCGTCTGGGGTTCATTTTGGGAGCCTCTGGGGCCGTCGCGGCCGCTGGTAGGACCGAAGCGCAAAGATCAAAGAAATATACGTTTTCCCATTGGACATGGTTGGTTTTTGCCCTTGGAGGGCCTTCTCGGCGGCCGCTGGGACCGTCTTGAATGCCTTTGTGGCCGTCTAGGAGCAGTCTTGGGCTGTCTTCGAGCGCTCGTGGCCCGTCCTGAAGCCATCTCAGTGCGCTCTTCAGTCACCTTCCAGACAACCTGGGGCGCTTTGTGCGCCTCTTGGGCCAGATTGGGAGCCTCTGGGGAAGTCTGGGGCCCCTTCTGAACCCTCTTAGAGCCCTCAAGGCCCCCAGGCCCCCCATACGAACCAGAGGCAGCAGTTCTGGCCCTCCCCCCGCCTACTCCGATATATATATATATATATATATATATATATATATATATACATACATATACACATACATACATACATACACATACATACATACATACATACATGCATATACATACATACATATACATACATACATACATACATGCATGCATGCATGCATGCATGCATACATACATACATACATACATACATACATACATACATACATACATACATACACACATGCATACATACATACATACATACATACATACATACATACATGCATGCATACATACATACATACATACATACATACAAGACTGCAGTGGCGCTTGGCGCCATGCACCTTGGTCCTTGAAGTTTGGTATGCAGGCGTAATGGCAGGAAGGCCAAGCCGACAATTTAGCGATAACTCCTGGTTGCCTTTTCCAGCATCGCCGCTATAATGATGTTATTCGTTATCCTTCCTCCATGCGTATTGTTCCTTATTTTCGGCATACCTTGCGCATTCTCCCCATCCTCCTCAGCTCTTTTTTGCGGAGGCTCCTCCTTGGAGAGCCTGTAGGGGCCTCACAACAGTTGTTTCGGGCTTTCTTAAGGCCTTCTGGAGGCCTCCAGGGCGTATTCTGGGGGCCTCCGGGAGCTCCCTCGGGCCACCCTGCCTCCAACCGCCGTCTCCCTGAACAACCGAATCACGATTTGGAATTCTTCGGAGGGTGTCGTTGGGCCATCTTGGGCCGCCACGGGGCTCTCTGAGGGCAATTTTCGACCCGTGTTGTGCCGTTTGGGGGCTCTCTTGGACTGCCTGGAAGCCCTTTCGGATGGTTGTGGGGCGATTTGGGAGCCTCCCAGGCGGCTTCGGACGCCCAGAAGACCACCGTCTTGGAGCGTCGGGATTTCCGAAAAGAGGAGAACCCCAAAATTCACCAAAAACCCGCAGAAAATCACTGATTTGTGTCTCGGGGGGGCTTCTTGGGAGTGCTCTTGGAGGCCTCTTTGGGGCCGTCCTGGAGGCCTCTTGGGCCATCTTGAGATCACATCGGTCACTCTTGGAGCACTCTTGTGCTGTCCTGGGGGTCCCTGGGACGTCTCCGATGACCCCCCTGATCGCCCTAAGTGTGCTGGGAAAGATTGGCAAAACGCTTGACAAGGCCCGGTGGCCGCTTCGAGGCCCGTCCGGAGGGCCCCAAAGCCCCAGGTCCCGGGAGTCCGTTTTTTTTTGGGGGGGAATGGGTTTTCCCCCCGCCCGGGCTTATAAAAATATAGGAAGAGGAATATATATATATATATAGATAGATAGATAGATATAACAAAAAATATGTATACATACATACATACATACATACATACATACATACATGCATGCATGCATGCATGCATGCATGCATACATACATACATACATACATACATACATACATACATACATACATACATACATACATACATACATACATACATACATACATACATACATACATACATACATACATACATACATACATACATACATACATACATACATACATACATACATACATACATACATACACACACACATACATACATACATACATACATACATACATACATACATGCATGCATGCATACATACATACATACATACATACATGCATACATATATACATATATACATACATAGATATATATATATATATATATATATATGTTAGGTATCCGAAAAGTCACAAGTCCTGTATTCTATGACAGAAAGTAGGTGTGTCTTGCACAGGAGAACAAGTTCAGAGTCCGTATGAAAGCGCCGTGAACGAAGAAGCGATTGCAATCTCCAAGCACATTCGTGCACGCACTCCTGAACAGCGTCTAACGTGATTTCTGAACGCAGCAGCGGTGTACACGCCACGCCCTCCTGGCTTGGCCAGGAGGGTGTATGCGCCCCTGGCTTCAGGATGCGCCCGGCCAGGGAGCAGTGGATCTGCATAGATCTCGCCGCCCCGCCGAGGGGGGGGGTGGTGGTGCGCAGGCGGAGGAGGAGGAGGAGAAGGAGGAGAGGAGGAGGAGGAGGAGGAGAGGAGAGGAGGAGGAGGAGGAGGAGGAGGGAGGAGAAGGAGGAGGAGGAGGAGGAGGGGGCTGTGATGTGCAGCGAGGGCACCTTGTTGAGGAAGAGGCGCTTGCATTCCCGGGCCGCCAGAGCACCACTCGATCCACAGGGGCACGCCGTCCACCTCCCGGTCCTGCAACGCGTCCTTCGCCCGCTGGGCGTTCTCCCGCGCGTCGAGCGTCACGTAGCCTCCCGTGGGGAGGGGGCACAGAGGCAAGCTCCGTAGCTGGAATCCCAGAGCTCCTCCTCCTACTCCTCCTCCTCCTCCTCCTCCTCCTCCTCCTCCTCCTCCTCCTCCTCCTCCTCCTCCTCCTCCTCCTCCTCCCCCTCCTTCTCTCAGTCCCGGCTCCTTCCTCGATTTCGGCCTCCAGGGCCCGCTCTCGGGCTCCTGGGCCACCAGAGACGGATCCGGGACGGAAAGCGGCCCAGGGGGGGGGGGGGAGGGAGGCTCTGCAGGCCGCAGGCCGACCAAAAATCAGGTCGTCGGACGTCTCGGAGATGCGCGGAGGGTGCCGCCACGAAGCGGCTACGCGCAAAGAGCGACCCCGGGCAAGAGTGGCCTCTGGAGCGCGGCTGCAGGCGGGGCGCGGGGGGGGCCCTGGCCAAAGCGCGCAGGCCGCTGCTGCCGCGCATGCCTCGGCGACCGGTGGACGCCAGTGGGCCCGCCCCCAAGGCCACTTCGGCGAGAGGTCGCCCTAACGTCTGGTCGAGCGAGGGAAGCCCGCCCGCCCTCCCCGTCTCGGGGATCCACTGACCTGGGCCAAGCCACACCCGGGCCGGTCAGGCCTTGCAGGATCCTGCAAGATCCTGCAGGATCCTGCACGCTGGCCAGGCTCAGTGCAACCCTGGCCCTGCAGGACCCTGCAGGATCCGGCGCTCTGGCTGACCCCCGTTTGCAGTGACCCCCGTCTCAAGGCCCCCGATCCCTCCCCTGGTCCTCGCTCCCGGGCAGCCTCCCCCCCCTCGTCTCCTGCCGCTCCCGCTCCTGCTCCTGCTCCTGCTCCTGCTCCTGCTGCTGCTGCTGCTGCTGCTGCTGCTGCTGCTGCTGCTGCTGCTCCTCCTGCTGCTGCTGCTGCTGCTGTTCCTGCTGCTGCTGCTGCTGCTGCTGCTGCTGCTGCTGCTGCTGCTGCTGCTGCTGCTCCTGCTCCTGCTCCTGCTGCTGCTGCTGCTGCTGCTGCTGCTGCTGCTGCTGCTCTTGCTGCTGCTGTTCTTGCTGCTGCTGCTGCTGCTGCTGCTGCTGCGGCTGCTGCTCCTTGCCCGAGGGTAAGGAGTGGCAGAAGGGGGAATGGCAGCACAGCATTGTATCGCATTTGGGCTCCTGGCAATTGCATCGTTCTGCGCGGCTTCAGGCCTGCGCTCAAGGGCACCCCCGCACACTGTAGTGGGGCTGCGCAGATGGCGAGCACGCGGATAGGCATCGGCGTCATCGCGTTCTAAAGTACTCCTCCTTTCTCTGCAGACAGACCCGGCTCCGGCGACGGCGTTTGCAGGACGACCCTTTCATACTATTTGCCTCACTCGTCTTCTTCTCTATCCATATCCTGTTCTTCGCATAATTATGCGACTTCATGCCAGATGTTCCGAGTGAGAGGTTTGAGGAGATGCGTTGGCCACGGCCCGGAGGGGCCACGGTGCGGGTCCGTGCCATCATAGCCCCTGTTATCGGCATGCTACGCCGCCCAGGTCCGCAGGGGAGGGAAGCAGTGTCGCAGCATTGCTGGGAGCCTGAGGGGAAGAGTGGCAGAAGGGGAATAGGCAGCACAGCATTGTATCACATGTTGGCTCTTAGCAGTTGCATCGTTCTGCTCGGCTTTAGGCCGGCGCTCAAGGGCACGCCCGTACACTGCAGTGGGGTCGCGCAGAGGACGAACATGTAGAGAAGCATCGGCGTCATCGCACTCTAGAGTGCTCCTCCTCTTCATCTTCCTCCTCCTTGAACGTCCTCGTCCTCTTCCTCCCCCTCCTTTTCCGTCCTCATCCTCCTCCCCCTCCTTATCCTCCTCCTCCTCCTCCTCCTCATCCCTCCTCCCCCTCCCCCTCCTACTCCTCCTCCTCCTCCTCCTCCTCTCCTCCTCCTCCTCTCCTCCTCCTCTCCTCTACTCCTCTTCCTCCTCGTCCTTCTCCTCCTCCTCCTCCTCCTCCTCCTCCTCCTCCTCCTCCTCCTCGTCCTCCTCCTCCTCCTCCTCCTCCTCCCCCTCATCCTCCCCCTCCCCGTCTTCCAACGCAGGTGACGGCGACGAGGACGACGCCGAGGACGAGGGCGACCACAGCAATGACCAGGAAGACGACAACGACGACTGGCAACGGTTCGATCCGTAAACAAGGGGGGCATAACATGTCTCTGCCCGCTACATCTGCAGCGCCCCTCACCAGCACCCGAGAAAGAGCGCGCGGAAGCGCAAGAAGGAGACAAGGCCACGAGCTGACTGTGCTCTGATTCACGCGAATGTTGGCTTGGTAACCTTTGTCTAGCAGAAAAAACGCTATAAACATAAATGTTGGGAGATCCACGCGGCGGAAGCGCCACCGGGGGCCCCAGCGCGAATCCAAGAAACCCGTGCGGAGCTCCGAAAGTTCATATTCATAGCATTTTGCTCGCTTCGATTTTCGGCCGCGGCGATGGCGATCGCGCACCGCGTCCGCAGCCTGAGCGCGGCCGCTGCCTGAGCCGAGACGCTTGGCAGAATGGTGCCAGTGAAGGCGAGGCCTGCCAAGGACTTTGTCAAGGGCTTCGACACAAGTGCATTCAAGGATGAGTTCTGAAGGCACTCCTCCTCCTCCTCCTCTTCTCTTCTTCTTCCTCCTCCTCCTCCTCATCATCATCATCAGCATGCAAGGCGCCGGCGGGCCAGAATCGTAAGGGCCGAGCAGTATGTCCGGCGTTGCCCGTGCTCGTCAACCCCGTCGGGTTTCGGGCTGAGCGCAGTGTCCGCACGGGCATGGCAGATCGGGCTGCACACCTGCGCCCGTCCAATCGGCGCGGCGGTGACGGAGGCCTCCTCAGAGGAGATCCGAGCAGACGGGGTCGGAGGGCCGCCCGGCCTCGCCGAGGCATCGCCAACGTGCTCGGGCCCCGTTGGGGAGACGTGGAGGGGGCCCTCCGACGGCAGTCGGCCTCGCTTCGCGAGGGCTCCGCGCTGGGGTGCGCCAGCGTGCGTTCGGCGAGCAGCACGTACCCGCGACGGGGACCAGCTCGGGCGTTGCCAGGAGGCGGTCTTGCCCATGGTTGCTCCCAGCTTTCCGCGCCACTGTGGGGCGAAGTAGGGAGGAGGAGGACGGAGGAAGGAGGAGAAAAAAAGGAGCAGGAGGAGGAGCAGAAGGAACAACAACAACAACAACAACAACAACAACAACAACAACAACAACAACAACAACAACAACAACAACAACAACAACAACAACAACAACAACAACAACAACAACAACAACAACAACAACAACAACAACAACAACAACAACAACAACAACAACAACAACAACAACAACAACAACAACAACAACAGCAACAGCAACAACAGCAGCAACCACAACAACAACAGCAGCAACAACAACAACCACAACAACAATAAGCATAACAACAATAAGCATAACAACAAGAACAACAAACAACAGCAACAACAACAACAGCAACAACAACAACAACCACAACAGCACCAGCCATAACATAAACAACGACCATAACGACAACCGAAACAACAACAACCTCAGCAACAACGACAACCACAACAGCAACAATAACAACAACAGCAACAACGGCAACAGTCACAGCAACAACAACAATGCCTCCAGAAGGGAAGCCAACGACCTGCCGAACGGCCTCGGCGATCGAACGAGCGATCGACGGGGGGGCACGACCCGCAGATGGTACCGCTCCTCTCCGCGTGGAGAAGAAGGCGACGAGGGGAACGTCGGGCGGCGGCAGGCCTGGGGCCAGCTGCACCAGCCCTGGGCAGGGCGCGCGCCGGAGACCATGCTTCCGGCTGTCGGACGAGCCGCAGCTCGGGCAGCACCTACGCCCCCGACTCTGGAGACGGGCATCTCGGGGGGCCACATGCGAACCCTGCCCCTACCCCCCACGATTTCTGAGGGGGAGAGTGCGGTTCACTTCGCTCGGGAGCTCCCGAGCAAAGTGAACCCCACCCCCCACCCCCCTCAGAAATCGTGGGGGGGAGGGGCAGGGTTCGCGTGTGGCCCCCTACATCTGCGACCCATCCTCCGCGCCAGGGCTTCACGCACGCGCAGCTCCAGCTCGGGGGCGCGCGCATCTGTGCCTGCTCCGACTCGCTCCAGGGGCCACCGCGGCTGCCTCCAGGGGGGGCAAGTCCGAAACGTGTGGGGCAGCCTTTTCTGGGCCAGGCCTGCAGATCCTCGCGCCTGAAGGCCAGCAGGCCAGCCAAAAAACGCACGCAAGAGGAGCAGGCGGAAGAGGAGGAGGGAGGAGGAGGAGGAGAGGGAGAGGAGGAGAGGAGAGGGAGGAGGAGGAGGAGGAGGAGGAGGAGGAGGAGGAGGAGGGAAGAGGAGGAGGGAGGAGGAGGCAGAGCGTCGGGAGAGTGAAGAGTTATCTCGTCGACACCGCCGACCACCCCTCGGCAGATCGGCCATTTGCCTCGCTGCCCGAGCAGTGGCAAGCACTTCCCTGCTGGGGAAACCGTTGTTGCAGGTCCGGCGTGCGCTACTCCAGATTTTGTAATAAAAGGGAGGGGGTCTTAACCCTCCCAGACGAGAAGTTTTAGACCCCCCCCGTGGGAGAACCCTCCAAAACATCGTCCCCAGACCCCCCCAGGCCCTCCAAGATAGCCTGGAAGAGACCCCCCCCGAAATGAGACCCCCTCCCTTTTATTACGAAATCTGGAGTACCTTTACGACAGAGGTGGAACGCCACCGCGACTCGCCTCAGGCCATGGAGGCTGGCGCGTGAGAGGGCGAGCTTGGGCAGGGGCTCCGGGGGGGGAGGGAGAGCAGCATTCTTTCGACACAAGCCTAAAGAGGGAGAAGGAGGAGGAGAACCAGTGCCAACCCAAGATCCATCAACTATCTTGCAAGAAACCCTCCCTCTAAATTCCCTTTCGCTGGGCCCTACAAGGATTCATTTTCACTAAGGGAAGTGCCCCGGTGGAAGACAACCATTTGACAATCCTGAACTGCGCCAGGACACCATCCCTGGAACTTCAACGTCGTGAATCACCGATACTGTTGCTCCTTGGCGATCGTGAATCGTGCTGGAACATTATTCCTGGGATTCCAACACCGCGAATCGAGGCAACTGTTGCGCCCTGTGCGTCCGACATCGTGCCAAAACCCTGTTTCTGGGAAGCGACACATGAGACTCCGTGAAAGTGCAGTACACTCTCAAAACGAGTGCGCGCGGCGCTGGGGCGAGAGCCACATCTTGAACATCATCCGCCCTCCCTGCGTGAAGCCCCTGCAGTGTCTGAGAACGGACGTGCGCGTCGCGGAAAAACGACATCCGCATGTTCCGAGCCGGCCCGCCCTCCGTCCGTGAGCCGACGCGCCTATGCGCGGCGCTGAGGGCGAGAACGACGGCTTGAGAACGGCCCGCCCTCCCTCCGCGAAGCCCTGTGCGGTGCTTGGAAACGAATGTGCGCGGCGTTACGGAGAGAGAGCCGCATCTTGAAAACCACCCGCCCTCCCGATTGCTCCAAACGAGCGCGCGCGGCGGCAGGAGGAGGAGTAGGAGGAGGAGGGGGAGGAGGAGGAGGAGGAGGAGGACGAGGAGGAGGACGAGGAGGAGGAGGAGGAGCTCTTGAAGCTCTCTCGCGATGGCTTCAGACGAAAACGCGCGCGGCGCCAGGGCGAGGACCGCGTGCTGACAGGGAGCCGCCCCCCGTGTGTGAAAAATCAGTGCTTGTTTCTGGAAGCGAATGTGCGCGGCGCTCAGGCGAAGACCAGATGTTGGAAAACGACCCGCCCTCCACCTGCGTGCGCCTGCAATGTTTGAAAAATTGTGCGCGGCGATTCGGCGAGGGCCCTATTTTGAAAAAAACACCCGCCCTCCATCCGCGAAGCTCTCGCAAACGTTTAAGACGAATGCGCGGGCGCTAGGTCGAGAGACACATGTTGAAACGGCCCGCCCTGCATCCGCGAAGCTCTCGCAAACTTTCAGCTTAAGGACAATCAGTGGTGAGGCAGTCTGATGCGAAAAGCCCAGCCCTCCCATGGAATTGGGTCCTCGCTCTCTCTCCGCCGTGCCGAGCGTCCCGTCCTCCCCGGGCCCCCTGGGCCCCGTGACGGGTGCTCCAGAAGCCAGCTGCGCCTCCCTGGGAAGCTGGGGTCGCCTTGGGCCAGGGCCACTGCGCTTTCGGCGACTCCGAAGGGTGTGGTTTGCAGAGGGTGCGGCCTGCAACTGGGACCCCCTGCGGGGCGGGCGAGGACCTCGACAGAGCTCTCTCTCCGCCGCGCCCCAGGGAGGCCCGACGAGGACGGCGTCATGCCCCCCAGGCCCCAACACCGCCGATCGCAAGCCACACTTCGGCGTGACCCTACCCTTTGTAGTCGCCGGCACTTGGCAGCACGCCATCGGCTCCAGATCGTCGGGGGGGTCGGCAGCCCCAGGGCGCTTATTTTTGTTCGGGTGCGGAGGGTGCTGCTCACGGTCGTGTTTCCCATCGCGCCACAGCCCACGAGCACGTGAGCTCGACATGCCAAGGACAAGGAGGAGGACGAGGAGGAGGAGGAGGCGGAGGCGGAGGCGGGGGCGGAGGCGGAGGAGGAGAAGGAGGAGGAGTTGTAAAACAGATGAGGGGGCAGATCAAGAAAGCGATGAGGAGGAGTCAGCTAGCAAGCAAACAAACACGCACGGGTTCATGCGATGAAGCGCGCTCGCAAACAGGGACGTGTGAGGGCAAGCATGCTAGCAAGCTCGCGAGCAAACGATTGTGCAAGCAGGCGACGCAAACAAGCAAGCGGAAGAACATTAAATCGAGCAAACAAGCAAGCAGCAAGCAAGACGAGCCCAGCGAATTAAGAGACGGGCGCTGTCACACAAAGCATCGTATCGAAAGCATCCCCGCGATTCCTGCATTGTTGGAGGTGGGCTGGAAGAGAATGGGCCTTGAATCTTCTGGCCCTCGTGCGCGATGACAACCGACACGACCGTGCCGTAGCGGGTGAACAGCTGGCACAAAGTGTCCTCCATATGCCGCGCTCTCTCTCTCTCTCTATCTCTCTTTCTCGCCCTCACCTGACCTGACCACCAGTCTCCTACGCCTGCCCGTTATGGTATCCCAAAGCCTCGATCATTTTTTCGGCGCAACACGCACGTGCCTCGGTAGTCACTTGGGCCAGGTCGCCTGGAGTGTTCGCTCGCGCGCGTGACCGTCGTACAGAGCACCACGCTATATCCGAGCCGAGAGCAGTGAGGGGCAATGTGAGGGGGAGCCCGCTCAGGGGGGGAAACGTCGAGCTTGCATCGGTGATTTACTTCGCCGACAGATCGGCGATGGGCCCCCGAGAGCGAGTGCCCACGCACCCAGGCGGAGTGGGCTATCAGGCCCCCTATGGTTGGAAAGTCCAGGGTTCGATCGGGACTGGTTTCTTTGCAATACCGCCGAAACCCTCCCGAAACCCTCCGAATACCCTTCGGGAAGGGTTCCGGAAGGCCTTTCGGAGAGTTTCTGGGAGGGTTTGCAAAGGGCTGTCGTCGCTTCTGGGGGGACACCAGTCCCCAGCGAACCCTGGGTTTTCGAGCCCTGTGGGCGATCCATGGGCGTTGTCCCTGGAACAGAGCGGAGGCAGGAAAATCGGGAGCGGCCAAGAGGGGGGTGTCCAAGAGGGGGGGGTGTAAATCATGACCGGAGGCATGTGCGCGGCCCAGCGGGGAGGCCAGGGACGTAATGAAATAAGAAGAGGCGCCATGAAACCTGAGGACATATCATGGCCCCCGCAATGATATCGACCCCCCCCTAGTCATCACCCCCCTCTTTGCCGCCCCCTAGGAGAGCGAAGCAAGTCAGGCCTGACGTGTCATGCCGGGGAGGGCGGGGCGGAGCGCGCCCCGCCGGTCCGGCGGGCGGGCCCCGCGGGGGCAGAGCGGGCCAGGGCCCTGGCCCGAGGCCGGAGCCGGAGCCGGGCGGGGGCCGGGGCCGGAGAGGTGCGGCCGCAGCCGAAGAGGGCGCGGCCGCCAGAGTCCGACACAGTGCAGCGCTGCTGGGTGCAGGCACGCAGCGAAGCAGCAGGGAGAATGGCGGAGCTCTGTTTTTGGTCAGCGGCGAGGGTGAGGGGATATCGCGTTCGGGTAGCCGGCGGCCTGCGCCGGGGTACGTGGCACACTCACACACACACACACACACACACGCACACACACAGATATATATATATATATATACACACACACGCACGCACGCACGCACGCACGCACGCACGCACGCACGCGCGCGCGCGCGAGCGCGCGCACGCACACACACACACACACACACACACACACACGCACACACACACACACACACACACACACACACGCACACAACAAGCTAGGAAGAGGGCGGCCGTAGAGGAGGAGAGCGGAGAGGCCTCCGGCGCTGAGAACCTTCCCCAGAGAATGGTGCAACCCGCCATGCCCATGGTGAATGATATGCTGTGCATGCTGCTCTGTGGGGAGGAATGGGACAAGGCGAGGGGCGGAGCAGACCAGAGACAGCTTCCCCCAGGAGGAGGAGGAGGAGGCGGAG